AGTGAAAGAATGCATCACAGCAGCCCTGGCAGATGAAGATAGTTAGTTTCTTCTCACATGCAAACAGTGATGAGCAGACACTGACTGGTCATGTGCAAGTATGTCTGTCTGCCGGCCTTTTGGAGGCTCTCAGAGAATGGGTATCGTGCCCAGGAGAGTCCTACCCTTGCTCCTTTGAGGTTTTTTTCTGGCTGGAGGAGTTGGAGATAAGGAGAGAAAGTTTGGTGGCAGGAACAAACAGCAGGCAAGGGGCCAGGGTCAGTCTATGTTCCGGGAACTCCATAGGTTCTTCCAAGGGAGTGAACTTAGTGATGTATTTGAGAGCACAACTTCTCATTAGGGACACATACCCTGTCCCAGGAGGGGGCATCATGGAATCACTGAATATTGTTACTGTGTGGAGAGCGACTTTCTATTGTCCATTTGTGTGTCTGCTGCCTGTCCACATTAATCTCTGGAAGGCTTTTCCCGGTACATTTTATTTCAGTCGAATAATCCTATTTAACAAGTATTTAATGAAAGTAACCATTTCTAGACTACATGGTTGGCAGGGACTAAATGTACAGGGATGAAGAACATGAAGAACATGTGATTTTTACCCTCAAGGGAGTCTCCCTGTAGGAAGGAAGGCAAGAATCTCCAGTGATTGGTTAAACCACAGCGAGATCCAGGCAGTAAGGGCAGATATACAGAAGAGAGGGTAGCAGCCGATGACCCCTCTGAGCCAGGTTTTGAACATGAGGCTGTAGAGTTAGGGGGCACAGAGAACAGGGACGAGGGAAAGGGAGTTTCTGTGTTTACTTAAACACAGAGAGATATAGCAGCATCATGCGTGATTATGTCCCTCTAAAGATCAGAGCACAAGAGGGAGGCACCTCGAGGATTTACAGACCTGGCTTGTATGTGCAGACATCATCCCAGAGCAATGGAGTCTCTGCAGTGGGCCCACAGGTCTCCCCACTACAGACCCACAGCTGTGCCCACCCTGTACCACGAACTGCACTGCCCCCTCCTGGCTTCTCTGTGGCTGCTCTGCCCTGAATGAGCTCGGAAGCCCCACTAGGACCCCCAGGCATTTGAATTGGAGACCACTGGAGACTGAGTCACCAAATTGCCTGTTTGTTTGGGCCCAAGGAGTACAAAATCCTCTATCTGCTGTGGGGCTGCTCTCTGGTCACTGTATTTACAAGTGAATCTAGACGGAAGAGCTCCTCTCTCACACATTCGTTTTGGTTTGTGTTCTTATGAAAATTTATACCCCGAAAGAAATTTTAACTGTATTTAAATAGGCATATATTTGTTTTTCCTCAACTGTAAGATTTGAGGACCGGGGGGGCTCTATTGAGAATGGTCAGAACACTAATAAAGTAAGAGTTACGTGTACTGTCCAAGTACACCAGGACAGTGAGTTTTGAAAGCTGCATACGGTCTGATTATACACCTGTCAGCACTCTCAGGAGAAAGGAAGCAACACAATGACAACCCCACATGCGTCCCCAAGGATCTGCCCACAGCTCTTATGAAATTAGAATGTGCCCATATTTGGAGCAGCAGGGATGGGTACAGGGTGCCCATGGGCAGGTTGGGTCCACAGGGAGCAGGAAGAACGTGAGAGTGGGAATCTGGTCCCTCTGGGATTTGTCCCTGTGCTGAGCTTCAGACCATGGCGCTCAGATTCAATACAGATGGAATGGCCTTGTCATGTATCACCCACACCAGGACACTTTGAGAGTGAATAGGGACAAGATTTGTACATATTTAAAACAATAGAAGTTGTTTTTGGAGAAACTAGAGCACATAGTCTAAATAGAGAGGATTCTGTACTGACATAGAAGAAAAAGAGTATATTTCAACAGTGAGTCCCTAACAGTTTCACCAACAATAAAACAAGTTTAGTCCTCCTTCTCCCCGACTGATGTTTGGCTATTACTACGAACACCCAATAACACAAAACAGCAAGAAAACTTTCCATCAGTGTGGATAATCTCTAGTAGTTTATTATTTTTTTCTCATAAACAACTAAGCTACTTACTCTACTAAAATTACAAAAAACGTAAGCTCGTTCTTTTCCCAAAGGCTTGAAATTAACAATCAGAGGAGGGGCAGGTGCAATCCTTGAGGGAACAGGAAGCATGTCCGGTGGCAGGTGGGACTCCACCCATCGTGAGAAAATAAAGCTTTGTATACACGAGCTCTTCTGCTTCATAATCTGGGTCATACTAGGAAGAATGAGAACTAAGAAATGTCTTTTCTTAAAAGAGTTATTCTTACAGATAGAAGAAAAGATTAAAATATCTATCTCTAACTCTCAGGCTCAAAATAATATTGGAATGGGTTACTGCTATGAAAAATGAATACTGAGAGAGAATAAAAAATGCTTTCAAATGAAAAACATAATTACCAAATTAATAATGCAATAGAGGATGTGAATAGCTGTCTGGAGTGATCTGAAAATGGATTTGGTAAAATAAACACCACATAGAGCAATTCTCACCAGTTTCAGAAGAAAAAGATGAAAAGCTAAAGTTGGGTAGGGGGGAAGGATGAAGGAGGCTTCAGTCAGAAGCAAGAGTATGGAAATACGCTTACAATGTGGATGATGGTTAAAATATTCTACTTATAAAGGCAAAAATTAAATAACCAGAAAATAACTGAAAATCTTCAATTTCAATAGTAATCGAAGAACTGCTTTAAGAATGCAAAGAGGTACCAGATCTGGACTCTCAAAAGTCATGGAGTTTGGAGAAGGGTGTGTCTTTTCTTCCATAATAGTAGAAGTCTTGGCCTATTCCTCTCACAACTGTATAACTACTGCCTGAAACAGGACCCAGCATATAGCAGTATATAATAAAAAATCAACTACTTTGTGAGATTTTCAGTTGGCACCAATTTATACAGGTAATTTGACAATAACTACCATTATAATACTAATGGCAATTTTTTTTTTTTTTTTTTGCAGTTTTTGGCCAGGGCTGGGTTTGAACCTGCCACCTTCATATATGGGGCCAGCGCCCTACTCCTTTGAGCCACAGGGGCTGCCCTCGCCAAATTTCTAATAGGAATACATGATAATAAAAACAATTTAACTGTTATATGAATCTAAACAAAGATATTTGTACAGCATTACCTATACCATAGAGTTTGTTTAAATAAATTATGATTTCTTCATGCAATGCCTCTGTATACATATAGTAGTTTGGCTAGTATGGTTTTTATGGATAATATAGTTGTGCTGATTTATGAGACTAGATACAAATATATATGACTCAAAAGAAAGCAAATCACAGGAAGCATTACATTAAAAAATGCATAAAAATAAAAATGCATATACTTAAAAGCATTATACGTATATAACATGCAGAAGATTGTACACCAGTAAGTCCATGGGAGATATCTCTGGTAGGATACATGTGACTCTTTTAAATTTGTTTTTGTTTTTTGCTTTTTGGATTTTTATTGCTAGCCTGTGTTTTGTACTATTTTCTTCAAGAAATATATTTTAAAATTAAAAGGCTAGGGGTGGTGCCTGTGGCTCAGAGGAGTAGGGCGCCGGCCCCATATACCAGAGGTGATGGGTTCAAACCTGGACCTGGCCAAAAAAGAAAGTAATAGGCTAAAAATAGTGACAGCCCTTTCATACTTGAGGAGTATGGCAGAAAACTGAACCTTTGGGAAGAACAAGAGCATTAGTGGACACCACACGTAGGCATGTTCATCTTAATCACTTCTTAAAAGAAAGACAATAGTATGCTAATAAAGTAAATGGGCCCAGAAGATAAGAGGACCAGCTGAAAAGGGGATACTGGGGGACATGGTCACAAATCTACAAATAGGGTTGTTGCAGGAATTCTTTCCTTTAGAAAAGAACCAGACCCTTGGAGCACAAAGACATGCAGAGACGTATAGAGACCCAAAAGAGAAAATAACAGACAGAGGAGCTCAGCACAGATTTCCCCCCCACCCCTGCATTTGTTTAAACTTTATTTCAAGTTTCACATCACTGTAAACGTTGCATAAATTTTATCAAGCATTTAGAGTCTAGCCGATGAACTCCGTCCTTTAGCACAAATACACACCTGACAAAAGCCGGAGTGATGCTGGCCTCCTAGCTGTCCTTGGGATGAAAACCCTGGCCCTTGAGCTTGTGCTGTTGTAAACCAGTCGCACTGGGTCCCCCTGATTTGCTCCCCCACCTCAAACGTGAGCAAATGTGGCGACCTTGAAAGATAATTGTGCCTGCCCCCATAATCATGTCTGTTGTCACACCCATGGCAGTGCCTGGCAAGGACCAAACACTGAGTGACTCCAAAGCACAGGGGACTCTGCAGCGATGCCAGCCACGCTCGGGCAGAGGAACTAGGAGGTCGGGGTTTCTATTTTACGTTCCCAACTCTACATCTGTGAATCTACAATCCAGAACTTCTGAGAAGCTCCTGTGTAAATGCGTTTGGTGGCAAAGCTCAGACTATTCTGAAAGTATTTCAGCAAATCCTGACCTACCCTGGCCTGGAGATGACATGGTTTGATTGCAGCAGACTCATACGTGCTCTGCAGAGAGCAGTGTGCGGTTTGGTCTGTGGTCCCAGAAGCAGCTGTGGACAGTTTTGTGAAATGTACAATATACTTCCTTGAAGCCTGAAAATCCTGAACTAGATCTGGCCCTCCAATCCTCTGCTGAGGGCGTGAAGGGCAGTGTGTCCAGCCCTTCGCCTGTCAGCAGGGGTCTGTTGTGCCCTTTCATGCAGGGGACCTGGCAGCACTAGGGGGAGGTGTCAGGGACCCCGGCCTTGGAGGGCAGACCTGCCTGCCCAGCCCCGACAGCCTGAGTACAGCAAGAGCTTCTCAGAGCTTCTCCCTGTGAAATGAGACCTCAAAAATAATGTGAACATTTATATTTGAAGTTTTTATTTGAAATTCTTGAAAGTGTCAAAGTTATTGCTGTTCATGATCTGTCCTGACATAGTTTTCAAGTAAAAAGAGAGGGAAAAAAAAGTTCTTACCTGAAAAAGTAAGTTTCGGCCGTCTGGTAATGGCCAGGCATCATTCTGAGAGGAGGGTAGTCAGTGGCCAGGGGCCTCACCATGAATAAGCCCATGGCCAAGGCCACGAAGAGGACGGGCAGCAGCAGGCGCCAGATGGCACTTTTCCAGGCGCGGCCCGTGTGGCGCAGCCGGGTCACCAGGAGGGCGGCCATCTGGGTGCAGATCAGCTGGCCGCCACACAGGGGTGGGGGCCGAGCCCGACAGTCACCTGCAAGGGGGTGTGGGGACAGGATCAAGTCAGCTCAGCACCGTCAAAGGCCAGCAGAGTTCTCTGTTCTGGAGACGGCCCTGCCGCAGCTTGCAGCCAGAGGAACACCCGATGCACAGGACCCCGCAGAGTGACAGTGCTCTAGGGAGCAGAAGGACGGAATCCTGGCCTTCAGGAGTCCCTGTTCTGGGAGGTCAAAATACAAAATGATGTCTCGAGGCATCACATGGCAAGCGCAAAGTGCTACTGTTGGTCCTTCTCTGATACTGCTGCTGAAAGGGAGGGGCCTCGTGTCTGCATTCCTCGTTAAAATAAGATCTGGATTCTAGCACAACAGAGACAGAGGAAGGGTAGGAGGCTCTGTCAGCACTGCCCCCCGCCCCCTGCCGCCCCGCCACCCTGCCACCATACACACACAAACTGAGTGGACCCGGCAGGGCTGCTTAGTCCTCCTGGAACCCAGGGCTCTGCTTCCTCTGCTCCTCCTCCTGCCCTCTCACCATCTTCTCCTCTCTGTTCTTAACCCTAGCAGGTCTTTAATAGGAGAAAGCCCAGAGTTGTGCCTTAGTCACCAGCTGATGTTGTGCCTCTGCCTTAGCTGTGTGCCTCTCTGCCCAGTGCCTATACCCTCCACTAGGCCCACTGTCCCCTCCACCAGCTGCAGCTGCCCCTGCCCCTCCCTTCCCTGTGGACACAGCAGCTCTGAGAAAACAGTCTTAGTGATCAGAGGGGTCACCAGGTAAAATTCCAGCGTGAATTGATGTATCTATTGATCACACTCCCTCAGGAGTGCTCTTCTGGGGATTCCACATACACACAAAAAGAAATCTTTATAAACCTGCTCCAGTTTGGGTTAAACATTCCAAACAATGCTGTTGAGAGCAATTTTTTTGGCCGATGTGAGGATGGGAAGTCAGGAGCAGAGAGAGCCTCTGTGGCTACAGTCTACAGCTGTCTGAAGCAAGGACACAGCCCGATCAATCAGCTGTGTCGATAGTTTTCCCAGCAATTCCTCTAAAGTACTCCAGAAAATCCAATACAAAGAATTGTACAAGAAAAGTGGTCTTGTAAAAGAACAGATGTACTGAACTGGCTGTGGTGCTCACAAATACAAAATAGAAATACAGTTAATAGAAGAGCAGTAAACACGTTGGAAGACCCAAAAGAAAACGCTTTTAAAGAAATTGTACCATTTTGAAAGAGAAATCATTTATAACAGCATTGAGAACAGAGCTATAGAGGTATCGCTGGGGATAAAAATGCACATCTGAAATAACTCCCTCCTTCCTCTAGGATGCTTACTGAATCCCCAGTGTGGGGGGGTGGGGGGCACTGGGGCACTTAATTTCTGTCCTCCAAACAATGTGTGACATAGAGTTGAGACAGAAATGTGAAGAAATAACCCAACACAGTGTAACAGACCACTGGGACAGAATGCGCCACACTGAAAGCGTCAGTACCAAGAAGTGAGTCCTTGGGACGTTGAGGGGAATAGAACGTTTGGGCAGACTCCCAGACTCCCTAGGATCCATTGAAATGTACAGGCAGACGAGGGAATGTGGATGTTTAAGGATCAAGACAGAAGCTATAAATAAGCCCAGCATACTGTGTGAATAACCATCTCTGCAAGGGAGCAGAATGTGGCACATACATGTGGCCAGTGCCAGGAGATGAAAGTTAAAGGTGGTCAGAAGCCAAGTCCCAAAAGGCCCTGACAGCAATTTTAAGGATTGCAGGATTTGTGCTAGACTGAAGGTTCTAAATCCAGGAGTCACAGGACCTGAGTCAGAGGATTAGGCTTGCATATTTCTAACAGAATAAATGGCCTGAAAAAAAAAATAGCAAGAATTCTTTTTGTCCCTCTAAAACATCCCCCACTCCCTTTGGACCTAAAACCTGCATCCCTGCCTCAGACCAGCGGTGGAGAGGGGCAGGGAAGTGTCTTTAGTTCTTTGTGCCACAGGAGATGGCTTAGTTGAATTGTTGAGATGGAAGCTCAGGGCAGGCTGCTGGAGGTCTGAGTGGGCCTCCCTGATGGGCAGAGGTGGAGGCTCTGTCTTTGGCAGAGATGAGACCCATAGAATCATGAACTGTAGTTAAACAACAATAGCCTAGAACTGAGGGCTCTCTTCACAAGGTCTGTAATTTTGCTTGGGGACAAGATGATGGTATTTTAGAGGCATGAGTTCCCATCTTGCTCCTTTGCTGACAATCGGTTTCTCTTTCCTTCTCTTCCTCCAATTGCCCTTGCTCTTCTATGTGGCCTCCTGGACTGAGGAGTCCTTTATTGCATGACAAGTAGAGCTCTAATGAGGGTGGTGAAAGCAGTGGTTCCTACAGCACGCCACATATCAGATTCACTTGGGAACTTTTAAAAATGCTGATGGCTGGATCCTGCCTCGGGCGACTCAGAGATAAAAATGTGCTTTTCTATAACTTCCCAAGAGATTGTGATGCATGGCTCAGCTACACAACCACTTATTTCAGATATTACCATGATAATTCATGTACAGATCTCATAAAGCAGTGATTAAATCAGTACACAGAGTTCAGAGCTAGGAAAAAGGATATTGTTAAATTAAGTTTGACTCTTCATGTGTATATACCGTTCTTGATATTTTACGAGTTTATAGAGCTGGATCACACCAATTCATGGCACTAAGGATACAGATCCATTAAGAGAATGATCTGAATTGTCTAATTCAAGCTAAAATAATTGAGATGCTTTGGGTTGTCCACCCTCTGGAGTTCTAAAAGTCATTGAAATAATTGTTTGATGTCTTCACTGGCCTTTGATTAAGGAGCTCTTTCTCTGGCTCCTTACAAAGGTGTCTGACTTTGTTTAGGTTTAAGAAAAATTGAATAGTCACAGCCCACGAATTAGCCTTCACAGAGCATCTTTGGACAGTCACATCCCTCTAGTTGCACTTAGTAGCCTGCCAGCCTAAGTACCTTCCCCTATACGTGTGCAGCAGGCAAATGGCTGTAAATTCCTGTTTGACAGAGAAGAGATTTTTGTCAATTCATGTAACTAAATGGGTTTTGGATATCTACTTGGAGATGTGCTCTGGTGATGGGGAAGGTGTGAGAGCAGAGTCCAAGAATGCCAGTTTATAAGCACAGTGGCCTGACTCATGGAGAACCACTGTGTGAGAGTCACCGTGGGGGAAGGAAATTCAATCCTTTTTTTTTTTTTCCAGACAGAGTCCTCAGCTGTCATCCTTGGTAGAGTGCCGTTGCATCACAGCTCATAGCAACCTCAAACTCTTGGGCTTAAGTGATCCTCTTGCCTTAGCCTCCCAAGTATTTGGGATTATAGGAGCCCACTATAACACCCGGCTATTTTTTGGTTGTAGTTGTCATTGTTGTTTGGTAGGCCTGTTGTTTGGGCTCAGTTTGAACTCACCAGCCCCCATGTAAGTGGCTGGTGGCCTAGTTTCTGAGCTACAGGTGCCGAGCCTAAACTTCAATCTTTTAATCTACAAAAACATGGATTTGAATTTAATCTTAGCTACCAACATACTGTTATTTCTGCAAAATTACTTACCCATTCTGAATGTCATTTCCTTGGTTGTGAAACAGAGAGTTAAAATACTTTCTCTCCTGGTAATAAGGATTATTATTAGAAGACTTATTATACTCCCAGAATAGGCATAATGTTGACCTCTAGTCATACTAAATGTTCATTAGACAGCCTTAATAAGTCTGTGGGGAAAGGTGTTTCTTATATTAAGAAGAATAAATTTTCTCCACCTTCCCATATATGTTAATTGGACATAAATGAGAAAAATAAAGGGCTAAGGTATTTTATGGTTATGAATCAACCACCAATCAAATATTCATGGTTAAACTCATAAAAGTATTCACATGAATAATTTAACAGACAAAATTAAAATGCCGGACCAAATTGTTATGAATTGTCTTATTTGACTTATGAGCATAATTATATTCAAGGACTCTAGTTCCATCCATAACGATGCATTTCCATTTACCCTGACCATCAAACTGCTTAGGAAGAATGTCCAAAGATTTTTTTTTTTTTTTTGGTCAGGTAGCTGCAGTTTTTCAAACACCTTGTAAGGAGCCACTTAAAATATCAAAGTCTCAGCAAGAACCCTAGAATACGATCTCCACATTAGAGTTCCTCCAAATGTTCCTGAGTATGTTAAAATAAATTATTACACTGGTTTCAAGTCAATAAAATTAAGATGAAAACTCCAAAAGAAATTAAGCACACAACATACATGAAGAACATATAGTTCATAAAAGATCTACAAAATAGCCGATGTATGAATATTGTAAGATAACTCAATAATTTAGTTTTTCAGCTCATTAATATGGTAAAAATGGAAGATAATGTTAACACCTAATATTATCAAGAGTTTAAAGAAATAGACCTTCTTATACACTGCTAGGAAGATAGATCTCTGTGGTCTTTCTATGGGAAACACGTATGGATCCTCTTTGATCTGCTTAATTCCAATTCAAGAGTACCACAAAAAAATAAAAATTCATAAATATATAAAGCAAAGTGACTTGTTACATCTTACAGAGAATGGTAGTAAGAGGTTGGAAACAATTTAAATACAAGAGAGTTGACCACCTCCTTACATTTATCACCTACCTCCTTAAGCTGACCTAATTTTCATAGACCAGACTTGCACCACATGTATTCAATGGAAGTTGCATATGTGTATGGAGGTGGTCAACATAAGAACTCCCCTTGAGTACATTGTCAACCCCAGTCCCCTGGGTGTTCAAATTACAGAGGTTCTACTGTATTTACCATGTGGGGATTAATTTAACAAATAACAGTGCAACCATATAGCAGAATATATTAATTCTCTTAAGGAAATAGGACAGCTAAATGCTCAATGATGTGGAGATTGTTTATTAACTTTTATAAGTCAACAAAGCAATTTAAGATGGAATTGTAATCTTCTAAAAAAACTGAACATGGAGGGTGGCTCAATAAAATGGGTGGGGTAGGGAATATTATA